TCTAGCTTTTCAGATCCCCGAGTTATGAATTTACTCGAAAAAAACTTTGGGGGGCCCGTACGCGGGAACCACGTGGGATATGGCGCCAATTTTGGGGATTGGGGCCCGTACGTGCATGTAGATTAAGTCCCCAAAATTTCAACCCCGTAGTTTTTGTAGATCTTGAGATGAAAAATCGTGACACACGGGTCCCCAAAGTTTCAGCTCCGTAGCTTTTGCCGGTCTCGAGATGAAAAACCGATACAGAGGCCCAGCGCACACACAGACACATCGCAGCTTTTATAGGTCCGGAGATGAAAGTGCGTGACAGACGCACACACAGGCACACAGACACACGAAACACAGACAACCTCTCGTCAATATGCGTTTTTCGCATTGCACTGCTGCAAAAAACGCATAAAAATTAAGTGCAAAGAGCGAAATCGACCATGTAAATGTACGCATGCTAACAACCATTACGGGCCAGATACGGAGGGGTTTCTTATAGTAGGCTTCTGGCACGGATAGTGCAAATCTCTGTCACTCGCAACTTACTCATTTTTCACAGATTCCGGCTTCTCATCGACATTCCGTTCCTGTAAATCAGCCTGCTCGCTCTTCTGCAACTTCGCTTCTAGTTTCATAATACACTGAGATACTTTCGCTTGAACCATTGTTGGTGAGATGTTGCCGCTGCATTCTGAGGCGAAAAACGGACGATTCTCGTGGCTCAGCTCAAATTCTCTCATTCTTGTTGCCGGTGATGGCCTGCAGAAAAGATAAACTCATTGCAAACTGAATTCTGTAGAACAAGCTTTATCAAAACTGGCTAATTTGTTCACTGCTAAGCTTTTTCTCAAATAAACTGCAAAAAATCTTCTCCTCCTAAGCTCAGGCAATTTGTTTTTGAACGTGAGAAACAATGAAGGCTTACGATCTTGTTCTCGGTTCCAGCGGAATTTGCTTTACAACATCTTGCTCCTCATGCATGTAATGCGGTTCTTCCCTGATAAGCGCTAAT